GTGGTGATATGTTCTCCTGTAATGTCAGGTGTGGTGATATGTTCTCCTATAATGTCAGGTGTGGTGATATGTTCTCCTATAATGTCAGGTGTGGTGATATGTTCTCCTATAATGTCAGGTGTGGTGATATATTCTCCTGTAATGTCAGGTGTGGTGATATGTTCTCCTATAATGTCAGGTGTGGTGATATGTTCTCCTGTAATGTCAGGTGCGGTGATATGTTCTCCTATAATGTCAGATGTGATGTTCTCCTGTAATATCAGGTGTGGTGATATGTTCTCCTATAATGTCAGGTGTGGAGATATATTCTCCTATAATGTTAGGTGTGGTGATATGTTCTCCTGTAATGTCAGATGTGGTGATATGTTCTCTTGTAATGTCAGGTGTGATGATATGTTCTCCTGTAATGTCAGGTGCGATGTTCTCATGTTATGTCAGGTGTGGTAATATGTTTTCATGTAATGTCAGATGTGCTGTTCTCCTGTAATGTCAGATGTGCTGTTCTCCTGTAGTGTCAGCTGTAGTGATATGTTCTCATGTAATGTCACATGTGATGTTCTCCTGTAATGTCAGGTGTGATGTTCTCCTGTAATGTCAGCTGTGGTGATATGTTCTCCTGTTATGTCACATGTTATGTTCTCCTGTAATGTCAGGTGTGATGTTCTCCTTTAATGGCAGGTGTTATGTTCTCCTGTAATGTCATGTGTGATGTTCTCCAGTAATGTCAGATGTGATGTTTTCCTGTAATGTCAGGTGTGATGTTCTCCTGTAATGTCAGATGTGATGTTCTCCTGTAATATCATATGTGAGGTTCTCCTGTAATGTCAGATGTGATGTTCTCATGTAATGTCAGGTGTGATGTTCTCATGTAATGTCAGATGGGATGTTCTCCTGTAAAGTCAGGTGCGATGTTCTCCTTTAATGTCAGATGTGATGTTCTCATGTAATGTCAGGTGTGATGTTATCATGTAATGTCAGATCTGATGATCTCCTGTAATGTCAGATGGGATGTTCTCATGTAATGTCAGATGTGATGTTCTCATGTAATGTCAGGTGTAATGTTTTCCTGTAATGCCAGGTGTAATGCTCTCCTGTAATGTCAGATGTGCTGTTCTCCTGTAATGTCAGAGGTGATGTTCTCCTGTAATGGCAGGTGTGATGTTCTCCTGTAACGTCAGGTGTGATGTTCTCCTGTAACGTCAGGTGTGATGTTCTCTTGTAAAGTCAGGTGCGGTGATGTGTTCTCCTGTAATGTCAGGTGTAATGTTCTCCTGCAATGTCAGGTGTGATGATATGTTCTCCTGCAAAGTCTGGTGTGGTTATATGTTCTCCTGCAGTGTCAGGTGTGGTGGTATGTCGTCCTGTAATTTCAAGTGTGGTGATACGTTCTTTTGTAATGTCTGGTGAAATGTCTTCCTGTAATGTGGGTAGAGCCAGGGTAGGACTTTAAATAACGAAAAATTGCATACCACAAGGAGATGACTAATTGTAGTACTAGTAGTAAAGGTTTAACCCACCAGGACATCACACAAGCGATAAACACCCGATGACACAATGTGCCACCATGTGGATGAGGATCACCGTGGAGAGGTCCCTGAAACCGGGTTCAGCTTTTAGGCCATATTTATGGCCAGGCTATATTGCGGCCCCTGGCAAGAGCCAGAGGAGGGCTTCAAATAACAACAAATTTTGTCATAAAGAGGACGAAACTGGATTAGATGAAATATAACTAATTGTTGTGAATGTGACATAACGATGACTGACTTTCTACCCCACCAGGACATCACACAAGCGATAAACACTCGATGACACAAAGTGCCACCATGTGGATGAGGATTGCCGTGGAGAGGTCCCAGAAACCGCGTTCAGACAATTGGCCATATTTATGGCCTGCCTATAATGCGGCCCCTGGCAAAAGCCAGGGTGGGGCTTCAAAGAACAATAAATTTTGTTGTGGTAAGGACATAAAGATTATCTAGACATAACGATTAAGAACACTTGGATATAATGTGGGAGACTCAAGTTTGAATCTTCCGTGAGGTTAAGAGTTATTTGTCAAGAAAAAAAAAATTTTCTTTTTTAAATCCTTAGCTGTACTGTCCGTGGCGTCGGCAGTAGCCAGACAGCCATCTACCTGCACCACAAAAGTGAGGAACAGGTTGTAAGGCATCATAGGCATACTGTTTTTGTTTAGACTGCACGTATGTTTGCGAAAGTTGGTTGTTTCCCTTATATTTTTGTAGCAAGAAAATATTTGACTGTCTCCCTTGTCTACTGTTACATTAACCTGATTGTTACAGAATTTCCAATGTGGATTTCAAGGCAAAGAATCATATATGTAGGCCAAAAGCGGCAAATGTCGCAGCCTAGCTGTATACAACTGCACAGAGTGTCAACCGCCCATTTTAGGAGGAGCGAAAAAGATTTAGTTACAGAATGTACAAAAGTCAACTACTTCTTACTCTTTTTCTTCTTCCCCTCCTCCTCCTCTTTCTTCCTCTTCTTCTTCTTCTTCGTTTGCCAGTAGATTACTGTTAAGAAATAACACAGTAACCGACATCATTATTAGCTACGAACAAAAGTTCCTGGCAGATCTCGGTGCTTGATCCTAAAAGTTGACCGCTACACAGCTGTTATCCGGAACTATACAAGTTTATGTGTATGATATGTGCCTGAGACAACTCAACTCACGTTTAGGTAGATGATATGTGCATGAGACCCACGTTTAGGAAGATGATATGTGCCTGAGACCCACGTTTAGGTAGATGATATGTGCCTGAGACCCACTTAACCCATGTTTAGGTAGATGATATGTGCCCGAGAACCACTCAACCCACGTTTATGTAGATGATATGTGCCCTAGACCCACTCAACTCACGTTTATGTAGATGATATGTGCCCTAGACCCACTCAACCCACGTTTATGTAGATGATATGTGCCCTAGACCCACACAACCCTCGTTTATGTAGATGATATGTGCCCTAGAACCACTCAACCCACGTTTATGTAGATGATATGTGCCCTAGACCCACTCAACCCAAGTTTAGGTAGATGATATGTGCCCGAGACCCACACAACCCACGTTTATGTAGATGATATGTGCCCTAGAACCACTCAACCCACGTTTACGTAGATGATATGTGCCCGAGACCCACACAACCCACGTTTAGGTAGATGATATGTGCCCGAGACCCACACAACCCACGTTTAGGTAGATGATATGTGCCCTAGACCCACACAACCCACGTTTAGGTAGATGATATGTGCCCGAGACCCACACAACCCACGTTTAGGTAGATGATATGTGCCCTAGACCCACTCAACTCACGTTTAGGTAGATGATATGTGCCCTAGACCCACACAACCCACGTTTAGGTAGATGATATGTGCCCGAGACCCACACAACCCACGTTTATGTAGAGGACACATACTCAAGACTCATACAAAGTTACGTTCAGAGACCATAGTGATATGTGTTGTGACAGCGATTTATCTTTTTTGTTGAGAGAGTGATGGTACATGTCACCATGGTTGTGACAGCGATGTATTCCACTGTGTTGAGAGAGATGTGACATGTCACCATGGTTGTGACAGCAATGTATTCCCCGTGTTGATAGAGATGTGACATGTCACCATGGTTGTACCAGCGATGTATTCCCCGTGTTAAGAGAGATGTGACATGTCACCATGGTTGTGCCAGCGATGTATTCCACTGTGTTGAGAGAGATGTGACATGTCACCATGGTTGTGCCAGCGATGTATTTCACTGTGTTGAGAGAGATGTGACATGTCACCATGGTTGTGCCAGCGATGTATTTCACTGTGTTGAGAGAGATGTGACATGTCACCATGGTTGTGACAGCGATGTATTTCACTGTGTTGAGAGAGATGTGACATGTCACCATGGTTGTGACACCGATGTATTCCCAGTGTTGTAAGAGATGTGACATGTCACCATGGTTGTGCCAGCGATGTATTTCCCCGTGTTGAGAGAGATGTGACATGTCACCATGGTTGTGCCAGCGATGTATCCCAGTGGTCTGTGTCACATTGACTAACATCTAGGGAAAATGGTCTGTGTCACAATAACTAACATCCAAGGACAAAAGACTGTGTTAAAGTGACCAACATCCAGGGACAATAGCCTGTGTTAAAGTGACCAACATCCTGGGAGAATAGCCTGTGTTAAAGTGACTAACATCCTGGGAGAATGGTCTACGTTACATTGACCAACGTCCAGGGACAATGGTCTGTGCAATAATGAAACTAGCACCATATTCCCATCACAGGTCCTTACTACAAAATGCTTGCCTATATTGATACCGCCAAACCTAGCAGAAGTCAACCGTGACGCCCCGCCTCCAGTGCAAGAATGCAGTTAAACATCTAGAAACATGGCTAGGGTCTGCGATCACGTGACTCCCAGATCTGGACACGATTGTATAAATAACAACAGTATCAAACACTAACAGCCGGGACTAGGCTTTCCGCCGTTGACATAAATAATAAACTCTTGCTGCTAGCAGTTTGTGTGTAGTTCTTATGTTCCTGCCAGTGACAAACATTGTCGTGTACTTGTAGATGTTCTCCGAGACTCCAGACAAACACTGCACGTTGTAGTATCACATGATACCCAAGCTGTCGTACCGCGTGCAGGATCCAGTTCCGAGACTATCCTTTCACCCAGTTTCTTATTCACTCTTTGCCTTGTCTCTTGTTTAAATAGCAGGTGAGATGCGATAGGAGTGTGCCGGCTTATCAAATATTACCTGGTCTATCTCCTTAAATAAGAAGACCTGTCTGCAAAGATTGAAACACGCAGCACAAACTCTGTAGTTCTTGCGACGACCTCTTGTCGTTTCCCAGATATGGTTATAAGTTGAACTAAGCACTTAAAATACGAACCCACGACCTTTAAAGCGTGAGATGCACAGTCTAACAAATGGACCACGGAGATGTTTATGCCAGATGTATCTGAGTGGTCAAGTATAGACTAGACATGTGCTGCTGCTGTCCGCTGGAAGACTCGGTGCCAGAGCTGGCTACCTCCCAACAGCACACGACAGCCGAAGGTTTCAGAAAACTGTTCAGGAATTCCAGAAGGAGACATGGAGAAACATTCACACAGTTTAGGAATAGACTCCGCTATTATTCCCAGAACTGGTTCCACATGGAAGGTGCGTGTGAACGGTTTGAGAATCTAGCTGATTTAGTTCTCCGTGAGCAGTTACAAAATGCCTGTGATTTCCATTTGGGGCCAATTGTCGAAGCTAAACCCGTCAAGTCTTCGGCCGAGTTTGTCCAGCTTGCAGACGGGTATAATGGTCAAGGTAGTTGCTTGTGTCAGTTCTAATATTTATTCACATATTAATGGTTGCCCAGCTTTCACTAACACACGTTTGCAACTCAAGAAACATTACAAGTGTCGAGACGTAACTTGGTTGTAAAACCATTTACAGTTTCATGTTTTCTTCAGTCTTTCACGAGCTTCGCTTGTTTCCTGGCCAGTGCGTCTTATAACGTCTGTGGTTACTAAAGTTTCAAACATAGCTCAGTGAAACCTACTAGAGTCTCATAACGTCTGTGGTTACTAGAGTTTCAAACATACATCAGTGAAACCAACTAGAGTCTCATAACGTCTGTGGTTACTAGAGTTTCAAACATACATCAGTGAAACCTACTAGAGTCTTATAACGTCTGTGGTTACTAGAGTTTCAAACATACATCAGTGAAACCTACTAGAGTCTCATAACGTCTGTCGTTACTAGAGTTTCAAACATACATCAGTGAAACCTACTAGAGTCTCATAACGTCTGTCGTTACTAGAGTTTCAAACATACATCAGTGAAACCTACTAGAGTCTTATAACGTCTGTGGTTACTAGAGTTTCAAACATACATCAGTGAAACCTACTAGAGTCTCATAACGTCTGTCGTTACTAGAGTTTCAAACATACATCAGTGAAACCTACTAGAGTCTCATAACGTCTGTGGTTACTAGAGTTTCAAACATACATCAGTGAAACCAACTACAGTCTCATAACGTCTGTGGTTACTAGAGTTTCAAACATACATCAGTGAAACCTACTACAGTCTCATAACGTCTGTCGTTACTAGAGTTTCAAACATACATCAGTGAAACCTACTAGAGTCTCATAACGTCTGTCGTTACTAGAATTTCAAACAAACATCAGTGAAACCTACTAGAGTCTTATAACGTCTGTGGTTACTAGAGTTTCAAACATACATCAGTGAAACTTACTAGAGTCTCATAACGTCTGTCGTTACTAGAGTTTCAAACAAACATCAGTAAAAACCTACTAGAGTCTTATAACGTCTGTGGTTACTAGAGTTTCAAACATACATCAGTGAAACCTACTAGAGTCTCATAACGTCTGTCGTTACTAGAGTTTCAAACATACATCAGTGAAACCTACTAGAGTCTCATAACGTCTGTGGTTACTAGAGTTTCAAACATACATCAGTGAAACCTACTAGAGTCTTATAATGTCTGTCGTTAATAAAGTTTCAAACATAGCTCAGTGAAACCTACAAGAGTCTCATAACGGCTGTCGTTACTAGAGTTTCAAACATACATCAGTGAAACCTACTAGAGTCTCATAACGTCTGTGGTTACTAGAGTTTCAAACATACATCAATGAAACCTACTAGAGTCTCATAACGTCTGTCGTTACTAGAGTTTCAAACATACATCAGTGAAACCTACTAGAGTCTCATAACGTCTGTGGTTACTAGAGTTTCAAACATAGCTCAGTGAAACCTACTAGAGTCTTATAACGTCTGTGGTTACTAGAGTTTCAAAAATAGCTCAGTGAAACCTACTAGAGTCTCATAACGTCTGTGGTTACTAGAGTTTCAAACATACATCAGTGAAACCTACTACAGTCTCATAACGTCTGTGGTTACTAGAGTTTCAAACATACATCAGTGAAACCTACTACAGTTTCATAACGTCTGTCGTTACTGGAGTTTCAAACATACATCAGTGAAACCTACTAGAGTCTCATAACGTCTGTGGTTACTAGAGTTTCAAACATACATCAGTGAAACCTACTAGAGTCTTATAACGTCTGTGGTTACTAGAGTTTCAAACATACATCAGTGAAACCTACTAGAGTCTTATAACGTCTGTGGTTACTAGAGTTTCAAACATACATCAGTGAAACCTACTAGAGTCTTATAACGTCTGTGGTTACTAGAGTTTCAAACATAGCTCAGTAAACCTACTAGAGACTCATAACGTCTGTCGTTACTAGAGTTTCAAACATAGCTCAGTGAAACCTACTAGAGTCTCATAACGTCTGTGGTTACTAGAGTTTCAAACATAGCTCAGTGAAACCTGCTAGAGTCTCATAACGTCTGTCGTTACTAGAGTTTCAAACATACATCAGTGAAACCTGCTAGAGTCTTATAACGTCTGTGGTTACTAGCGTTTCAAACATAGCTCAGTGAAACCTACTAGAGTCTCATAACGTCTGTGGTTACCAGAGTTTCAAACATAGCTCAGTGAAACCTACTAGAGTCTCATAACGTCTGTCGTTACTAGAGTTTCAAACATACATCAGTGAAACCTGCTAGAGTCTTATAACGTCTGTGGTTACTAGAGTTTCAAACATAGCTCAGTGAAACCTACTAGAGTCTCGTAACGTCTGTGGTTACTAAAGTTTCAAACATAGCTCAGTGAAACCTACTAGAGTCTCATAACGTCTGTCGTTACTAGAGTTTCAAACATATATCAGTGAAACCTGCTAGAGTCTTATAACGTCTGTGGTTACTAGAGTTTCAAACATAGCTCAGTGAAACCTACTAGAGTCTCATAACGTCTGTGGTTACTAGAGTTTCAATCATAGCTCAGTGAAACCTACTAGAGTCTCATAACGTCTGTCGTTACTAGAGTTTCAAACATAGTTCAGTGAACCTACTAGAGAGTCACTAAAGACACGCAACAAAAGGTAAGTGCATTCCAAAACAAATGCCTCATGAAACTGATGAATTTCAAATCACGAGGCAACAAGAGAAAGAAACGTCTCGACAAAAGCAAGTGTCAACAGTTATCAGAGACAAGATGGGACTATACCACCCTAACCCTGTGGGAAAGCCAACATATAATTTTTCTAGTCCTCTTCCTCTTGTTCTTTTTCTTTTCTTTCTTCTTCTTTTTTCTTCTTCTCAACCTTTATTTTTTCTTCTTCTTCTTGTTCTTGTTCTTCTTGTTCTTGTTCTTGTTCTTCTTGTTCTTTTTCTTCTTCTTCTTCTTCTTCTTCTTCTTCTTCTTCTTCTTCTTCTTCTTCTTCTTCTTCTTCTTTTTCTTCTTCTTCTTTTTCTTCTTTTTCTTCTTCTTCTTCTTTCTTCTTTTTCTTCTTCTTCCTCTTCTTCTTCTTCTTCTTCTTCTTCTTCTTCTTCTTCTTCATCTTCTTCTTCTTCTTCTTTTCCTCTTTCTTTCTTTTCTCTTGTTCTTGTTCTTGTTCTTCTTCTTCTTTTTTTTCTTCTTCTGCTTCTTCTTCTCCTCTCTTCTTCTTTTTCTTATTTCTTTTTCTTCTCCTTCTTCTTCTTTCTTCTTTTTCTTCGTCTTCTCATATCTTCTCCAATATTCTTTTTCTTCCTCTTTTTCTTCTTCTTCTTCTTATTCTTATTCTCATTAATTTTTCTTTTTCTATGCTACACGTGTTCCATACTACACAATCTTACCACTACTTTTAACGACGCCAAGACATCTACAACTCAACAGGCCCTAACTCCATCTTTCCCTCCCCCCCCCCTTTCCTAGTGGACAGCCTCAGCCTAGTCACACGAGATAAATCAGCTGCCAAGGACATGTCACAGTCAATAGTTGACCAACGCCCACCTCCACCGCCGAGTCAGCAGGACAGCGCCCTGTTGTTTCAGACTTCCTAACATTTTGCGGTGGCGCCCAAAACACTATGTTGCTCCAGAAAAGCAACGCTAACCTCCTCGTCACCAGCTACCATATAAAACCCAAAAAAACTTGACACCCCTGTGACACTGAGTCAGGCGTGTGAAAGGTCAGCAATGATGAATGAACAGCCAATCATCTCGTATTTTAGCTCTAGTTAGTGAGTTGTTCCGTTTATTCCTATCTTACGTAATATTTGTTGAGTTGGAAGAACGCCGGTGGACGGTTGAAGTGGTTTGCAATAACCTTAGGAGCCTGATTATGAATAATTAATAGACGTTTCCACAAACCCACCTCACTGTTGTCTGCCTATTGTCCACGTATGTAATGCCTCAGGACAGCTTCCGCCCACACTGTTGTCTGCCTATTGTCCACGTATGTAATGCCCCAGGACAGCTTCCGCCCACACTGTTGTCTGCCTATTGTCCACGCGTATGTAATGCCTCAGGACAGCTTCCGGCCACACTGTTGTCTGCCTATTGTCCACGTATGTAATGCCCCAGGACAGCTTCCGCCCACACTGTTGTCTGCCTATTGTCCACACGTATGTAATGCCCCAGGACAGCTTCCACCCACACTGTTGTCTGCCTATTGTCCACGTATGTAGTGCCCCAGGACAGCTTCCGCCCACACTGGTGTCTGTTTCTTTTTAAAATACGAGGAACGGTCTTTTAGTCCACACACTGAGGCGCTATAATTTTTATAGATAAATCAGCTGCCAAGGACATGTCACAGTTGACAAACGCCCATCTCGACCACCGAGTCAACAATTCAGAGCTCTAGCCGCTGTACCACTCCAGTACATGGGGGTCAGCTGTTCAATAAGATAACTCTCGTATAAGTTTCCGCCCTTACTGCACCTGTTTATGGCCTCAATAAATAGCCCTACACGCGCCACATCCAGACATCCCATGTCAGCACAACACTTATACAATATGTAATGTATACCTTATGTAAAGAAAAGTTGACTCAGTATAGTTTGTAATCTAAGTATCCTGTATGTAAACCATGAAACGTTCCCGGGACGATCGCTGAATAGCTGCGGGGGAAAGTTGGCCGTCATAAAGACTAGCTTCAATAGTTGCCATCTTTCAAGACACTAGCATCAATTGACTGAGGGTCTCCGTGTTCCCGAGAGCTAAATACCGGCTGTTGACTTCTGAGGCTATTCAAACAATCACCTTTGGGATGACACAACTTGACTGTCACTCCATAGGACTTTAGATACCACCTTTATACTTGATTACTGCCTTTCTTCAAACATTCTCCCAGAGGATGTCCCACCTTTATGGTCACCTCAAAGGACTTTAGATACCGCTGTCATACTCGACTTATGCCATTCTT